GCCCATACTTCTAACCTTAGACCAAAGGAACTAGGGATCCTCACTAGAAGCTCCAGGTCTCTGGCTCCTGGCGGGAAGCTAAGGAAGGAGCCCTAATGTTTGGGATTTAGGGTTTAGGGTTTAGGTTTTAGGGCTTTAGGATTTAGGGTTGAGGTTTAGGGCTTTAGGATTTAGGCTTTAGGGTTGAGGTTTAGGGCTTTAGGATTTAGGGTTTAGGATTCAGGGCTTTAAAGTTTAGGGTCTGGAGGTCAGGTTTCAGGGTTTAGGGTTTAGGTTTTAGGGTTTAGTGTTTGAAGGCATGTTAACCTTCAAAAGCCACAAGCTTTTGGGTGTTCCTGTGGAAAAGTACTGGTGTCTTACTCAGGCCTCTACATAACACTGAAGGATGTTTGGCGGCATAGGTGTGGTGAGATTGAGATGCCAGGAATGCGCATTTGTCACAACATGTCGATGCAACGCAGCGGTTCCCTGAACCCTAAACCGTTCTCATTAAGGGCTGATGTTCAGGGGTCTGCTTGGGCGCTATAGTCACTGTAGTCTCCATTGTTCCTTTTTGGGGGTTCCTTTGTAGGACCCAAATAGACAGACAGGAAAAAGCAAAGAAAGGAACTACAATACTGGAGAGTCTAGCTACATCAGAAAGTGACACCTGGAAAAAAAACTTATGAGCTAAACCCTAAACCCTGAAGCCTTCACCCTAAACCAAAAACCCTGAACCCCAAACCCTAAATCCTGAACCCTAAATCCTAATCCTCTGGTCTTCTAATCCGGAGGTCGCCAGACTAAACAACGCGTCTGCGAGACCCGGGTTTGGGGTTTACGGTTTCGGGGTTTAGGGCGATTTAGGGGTATATAAGGGGTTGGGCTTTATGGGGTTTAGGGTTTAGCGTTCAGATGCCAAGCAACTTGTTTGCCTTGCTTATGAGAACGAGGATGGCACGAGCAGACTTAGGCAGACATGCCTTGTATGAGCCGCGAAATTAAGGAACCGAGTCTTGGTAACTGTGGCCTTTGACAACCCTAACCTTTACCCTAAACCCTGATAACCCTAAATCCTAAACCCTGATAACCCTAAACCCTAAACCCTGATAGCCCTAAACCCTAAACCCTGATAGCCCTAAACCCTAAACCCTGATAACCCTAAACCTTAAACCCTGATAGCCCTAAACCCTAAACCCTGATAACCCTAAACCCTACATCCCGAACGATATCCTGCCTCCGGAGCTCAGTGGCGCAATCGCAAGAGCTGCGCCAGACAACAGCGGAGCCCAAACCTGTGGGTAATGTAGGGCCTTGATAATTAGAATACGGTTTTGGAGTATATTATACTATATTTCAACGGTTTAGGGTTTAGGGTTTAGGGTTTAGGGTTTCATAATAAAGAACCCCCCAAAAGAGTATAGGTAATTTTGAGGCCCCTCTGGATTAGAGCTTTTCTAGGGGTGCAGAGCTCAGGAGCGCAAGGTCGTTAATGGGTAGTTCTCTAAATTAGGGCCCCTTTTAGGATCCTTTGTATAAGGGTGCCGTACTACATTTGGGACCTAGAAAGGGACCCTACTGGAAACCGAAGAAGTCGTTACAACTCGACAGGGCTTTCGGTCTGTGTCACAGCAGCGGGAGTGTGAAGGAATGTGTGCGTATAGTCTCTCGAAGTGCGAAGGTGTGTAAATGCATGCATATGAACAGAGCGCAAGAAGCACAGAGATATTAACACACGCATACACGTATGTATGTATGACTGTATGTATGCATGTATGTATGCATGTCCGTATGTACGCATGCATGTACGTACGTACGTACGTATGCATGTATGTGTGCACGCACAGAATAATCGACGAGACGAAGCACGGAAGCAGCCAAGCAGCAGCAAAGTTGCAGGCCTCTGCCGCTCTGAGTACACCGCACGACGGTTCAATTTCCGGGCAGCGCCCCGTGACCAACAATTACTTGGAGGTTCATGGGTAGTTATAAGTAGGGTTATAAGTACGGTAACTATAATTATAACCCTATTAGGGGACTTATAACCCCACTTATAATAACTACCCATGAACCCCTAAACCCTAAACCCTAAACCCTGAACCTCCAAGTAGAGTTTAGGGTACAATAGCAGGCGGGAAGCTGCCCCTGTGCTTTTAAGCAAGCGTGTGGTCTTCGATACTGCACCGAAAGATTACCAAAGTATTCATACACTTGGTTTAGGGGTTTGGGGTTTAGGGTTTAGGGTTTAGGGTACTTGTCTTCGCCCGACGTCTGGGTTGAAACACTCCTCGGTTTGAAACCATCCTTCTCACATGCCCTTCCTGTATAAACCAAGCAGGAAACGGAATCCCAACTATCTGTCGTTTAGGGTTTAGGGTTTAGGGTTTAGGGCTGTGCACCTTTCAATACACAATCCCGTAACCCCGACACGCAAAAACGAACACGTTGACCCACTTACCCCAAAGGGTCCCCAAAGTACCTATATAGTAGAATGTAGGGTTTCTATATTGTGAATTACTATTATGATTGGGGGAAGTATCCCCCATAACAGTACCTAGGACCCTAAACCCTAAACCCTAAACCCTAAACCCTAAACCCTAAACCCTTTGGGTACATGTTCGCGACCTCGGGCATTGCGGCGACCCACGACAGGCTTGTGTGCTGGAGGCCAACCTCAGTCCATCAAACGGTTTAGGGTTTAGGGTTTAGGGTTTAGGGTACCTTCAACACGAACTGTGCCCTTCAGGAGGGCTTTAGGGTTTAGGGTTTGGGGTTCAGGGATTCGGGTTGAAGGATTAGGGCTTTTGTGGTTTATGGTTTAGGGTTTGGGGTTTAGGGTTCGGGTTCAGGGATTCGGGTTTAGGGTTTGGGTTTAGGGTTTAGGGTTTAGGGTTCAGGGACTAGGATTTAGGGTTTGGGTTTTGGGTTTTGGGTTTAGGGCACAGATGCACGGAATCTTTCTGCCATGAGAGGCCACATTTCAACCTTCTGTTCCCCGACTGCTCTGGAATAGTGCAGAGTTTACTGCCACAGGCACTTTCAATGACAAAAAATCCCGGTTACGGGTTTACAGCAACCCTAAATAGCATCCTTATAGCAACCCTGTAGCAACCGCTAACACAATATACCCTGCGCAAAGCCGTGAAATTGCCGTGACATCAGCTACACTTAGTGCTCTGCCTGCGATAAACTCCGATGAACAGCTAAATCTGGACAAATGAACGGTGTAACAAGGAGACAACCTGGATGGTCCCGAAATCTTACCAAAACCTATCTTGGTCCGGCGCCACTGAAAGCCGACATATACCAGGTTGCTGCATGGGACCTCTAGACCGAGTCTCGACCTTGAAAGACCCACTAGGCCGCAGCAAAACCCTAAACCCTAAACCCTAAACCCTAAACCCTAAACATGCATGTAAGACATTCTAAGGCTCTGACATCCGCTGGAAGAAGTTTGTGCGTCCGCACGACGTGTGCCAAATGAGTCAACGCCTTGTTGCGAAATTCAAATATCACATGTAGTATATAACACACCTTATGTATATACATATATATGTATATATACATAGACATGTAAAACGAAATTATGATATGACATGTATATATATATATATATATGTATATATATATATATATATATACATGCATTGTACAATATACTAAAATGTATAGCTTGCCGGTTTGAGGGCTCTTGTTCATGGGTTCGCTCCAGCATGCCAAACAAGGGGGCAAGAAGCCAGCCATTAAAGAAGCTCAGACTCAGATATTTTGCAACATTGCTTGGCTTCAGGCAAGAATTTCGCGTTGAAGTCAGCCCCTGTATGCTGTCCCTATGCCGACAACGACAACCCCCAGAACCAAAAGCCTAAATCCTGAATATAGGCACTGGGCCCTGATCTTTGAATCAGCCACAAACCTCTTTGCAGGCACCCTCATGTCCCCTCAGCT